GAAAAGTTATTGTCGAACGCAATCTTCGATTCTCACCCCAGTCCTCCTCCCCCCAACCCCTTGTAATTGTATTTTCTAATAATAATAACCATCCCGCGATTAATTCATTCCGCGTTTGTTAAAAAGAAAAAGAACGGGATGAAAATATTTGCGATTGTTTGGAAAGAAAGTATACGGTATAAGAATGAACAAAAAGAAGAGGAAGAAAAAAAAATAAAATAAAAAAGTGCAAAGAGAAAAGTAACGGTAGAGAGTAGTAGTAGTAGTAGTAATAGTAGTAGTAGTAGTAGTAGTTTCTCTTCAGTCAGTTTCGCGAAAGAACGCGAAATTAACGAAGTGCTTCGTCTCTCGTGGGAGTAATGAGCGATCGTGCGAACGTAGTTCACTAGGAATACGTATCTCGTGTAAAAATGTGTGTTACACATTTATATATATACATATGTATATATTAATATGTACACACACACACACCATTCTCTGTTGTCCTTTTCAATTTCCAGAATATATATTCTCGTATAGGATTTGTCCCCAACGTCTCGTGAATATTTTTGGATATATATTTCTTTTCTTTTTCTTTTTTTTTTTTTGGACGAATAACAAAAAAAAAAAAAAGAAAATTTACAGACACAAGTAAAACATAGACGCGACGTTTTGTCCTTTTTTTTCGGCTTTGATTAATTTTTTTTTACGTACGTACGTATATATATTTTTTTAATTTTCTTCCATTCGAATGGATTGTAATCAACATTTTTTTCAATAAAACGAACGGTCAAAATGAAAATTAATAAATTTACACTATTTTTGTGTTTGATTAATGTATATTATAATACAACGTAAGTATCGATTATATAATTAAATGGAAACATAATAATTGTATGGAAGTACTTATTGAGATCTTGAAACAATCCTCATTTGGTTTATTATTTATGACTATGTTTAATATAATCCTATGTAAAAAAAAAAAAAATCGTAAACTTTGTAAAAAATATCTTTGATATATACCCTGTATTGTATATTATTTGATAAATGTTGTGCTCTTAATAATAAAAAACAAGATAGTAGTACTCCATACTATAACTCATAACGAAAATATTTATTCGCTTAAAGGGAAGCTGGGCGGGGGGGAAATTATTAATGGAAACATAAAAGTAGTGCAGTTTTAAATGGACAAGAAAAAAGTAATTAGAAACAAACAAACAAAAGAAAAGAAAAGAAATGGAATAAAAATGTTTTCATTGTCCTATAAAATACAAGATAGTTATAATAGTGTTCTTAATGTCTCACACAGACGGACAGACAGACAGAAAAAAAACACCATCGTAGAATGCACATGCCTCAAATGTATAGGAAACACAGGTGGAAATCTCCTTTCCCCTCTCCCCAGTGCACGATCCGTAGCTAGGCTGCACTTATAAAATATGCAACTCGCAATCAGGTCTCTTGAATGGAAAAGAGAAAACAGAACGGGCTAAAGGAAAAGGGCGACAAATTCGATACCACCATGCTCACGAGGTATGCAGTCGACAACGTTTAACACGAGGAGGAGAAGTAGGAGGGGTAGGAGGGATGGGGAGGATGTGGAGATGGATGATGGTGGTGGGAAGGTGGTAAGCAAGGGAGAAGGGATAAAGAAGGGTATAAGGGTGATACCCGCTGAAACTGCGACTCTTATTCTGTTTTCTCTACCTAGGCACACGAGATGCATTGCTTAGTTTGCGAAAAATGTTCATAACTGGTCGATCCCCCCCTCCCTCCCCCCCTCGTCAGTCCCAGGTTGTTGTCGTACGTGATTTCGAAAAATTCTTTTTGTTTTTCTCCATCGAACCAATGAGAAACGCTTCCACGAGAACTTTATCCGAGATTTACCTGATTACCCACTGGTTGTGTTACACTGCTGTCGCAGCTGTTTCTTCATTTCTTGTCGTAGTTGATCGACCCTTCAACTCATCTCTTCGAGATTTTAACCCTTTCGATACTATCATATTGTTCAAATGTGTATGGGTTTTTTTTCTTTTTCTTTTTCTTTTCTTTAGCGGATATTAATTTCTCGAGCGGTGAATGAAACTTTTTAGTCAAAGTGTTTCGTAAAGGGTGGAATAGATTATTATTAGTGTGACTTGTTTTTTTCGTTTTGATTTATATTATTTAATATTAGATTCTAATAATAAATTACATATATTTAATTATTGAAGTGTTATTTTTTTGTTGTTTCTTAATTAAATTTTTATGTGACAAGAAATAAAAACAATAATTAATACGCAAATCAACATTTACATTATTTTACATTAATATTCAATGTACATTTTATCGTAAAGTATAAAGATAATGGGAATGGAATATTTTAATCAACATTTTTGTTATACGATTGTTCAATATATTTACGTAGATTATTTTTTATAATATTATAGATCATTATTGTTTGTTAATTCGTTTGCTATTATTTGTTTTATTAATTTGACTTTGTTCGAATATATAATAAATGAAAAATCTCCGCGTTGGAGATTATTCATTTACGTCAGTACATTAAAGTCAAGTAACAACGTGGTCACAGTTAATAAAATGAATATACCGTTGATAGAACACAGACAGAATCTTTTTCGATAGTATTGGATAGATGTGAGAAAGTGTTAATAAAGAAATGACTCGAATTCGATTAAAGTGAGAATAAAAAAGACGTAACGTAAATTAAATTCTTAAATTGTTTTATTTTAAAATTTAATATTATACGTGTTGCATACTTTGGTCTTTTTTTTGTCGAAGGAAATAATTCATTGCATCCGTAACAACGTTGCTTGGATTTATTGTGCACGCGAATGTCGCAATAACGGTGACAATGAAGTGCAGAAATGTTCCTATATTCAAATTTTCTCTAAATTGTTTTAATTCATGTGAAATATTATAACAGATTACTACTATAGTTAACGATTTATAATTAACTTTTCAATCTCCTTCCCAGTATTTCAATGTACGTAAAGAACGTACGTCACATTGGTAACTCAATTAAAGAATTTTCATTCGATTAATGAACTTAACGTTAATAAGTTACCAATTTCTAATGTATTCGTTATTATATTTTATACTTCACACACACACATTTTGATTTAACGTTTAAGTTGATTGTGCAAACACTTGGACGAATAGACACGCGTCTGAATTTAGTTTGAAACAAAAATCTGTCGATAAATTTCTCATTAATTGTTATTTTCATTTATCCGTAATATTCAATTGATAATTTCAAGTTTTATTTAATTAAGCGTATTTTAAAATGAACATTTTATTTCTAATTGAAAAAGTTTCTTACTTCATTTGTATTTTTTCTCCCTCTTTGACAATCAGTAGTTATAGTTAAATGAAATTGTAAAGAAATGATATAAGTATTCTATAGATAGTATAAAATGTAGGTAGATGTATAAATATACGATGACACACACAGTCTGTATCGAATTTTCGTGAATTTACAAGCTTGACCAGTTACGTTATGGGTCTCCGAGGAAATGGTGTTAGCTGGCTCAGATACTACAAAACTTTCTTCTTTTCTCATGGGGGTGTTCCAGACAATCCAGACAGTTCGTTAAGTTCCTAGAATATATATACACTCGTATATGGGAACATTTTTCTTCCAACGTAAGGAGACCAATGTTGGAAATGTCTTCAAAATGGGAATGCTAATAAAAATGTGTTTTATATTATTTGTCATCTCTTCTACGAGTGTATCATAAATAAAAATATAAATATAAATATAAATATAAATATAAATATAAATATATATAAAATCTTTACCGGTAGGTTTGCGTCTAATTTTTCCAATCGAATATTATAATTCAGTAGAGTAACGCGATACACCTTGAAAATATATAAATTGTTAATAAATTATCATTATCTAGTACTATTAAAACGGTTTTAATATTATTTCCAAGATAAACAAAGATAAGAAAAGATTGAAAGTTCAGTCACGTGCATTTGACTAGATGATAGGATATCTGAAATACTTAGAATCAACTTTTAACCTGATTCAAAGCAGTCACCATCAGCAGCAGCAAGCAAGCATCATGCAAAAGTCTCGAAAAGTCTCTTTGATAAGTCTCCAAAAGTCTTTTGTCACTTTTGTTCAACCGACAATGAACTTCTCCTTCTGACACTATGACTCTTCGAATCTGTGTCATAACTTTGAACCTGATTCTCATAGCTTATAACTCTTCAAAGTTTTCTTGCTCTCGTTAACTGATACGTTTTGAAAATTTTCTAATTTCGATATTATTTCTTTTTTTTTCAATATAATAATTCAATATATAATATTTGATAATGATATCCATCGATATAATTTATTTAAAATGAGTTTTAATACTTCATTAAAATAAAAAAAAATCCAAAAAGATGTTAACATACTTTGGATTGTGGATACTACTATGAATTTGTAAAAAACATAAATATATATATTTTTGTTGTTGTTGGTTGGTTTTCGTTTAAAATGATAATTCAACGTTTCCTAAATGTAAACTGCGAGAAGTAACGAAATGAAAATAACGCTTGCAATTAGTTTCAAAACGAATTGAAACGACGTAACCGTGTAGCGGCAGCAGTAACGTTTTCATGCGTTTTCGAATTTTAAAAGTAATGTTACTTCTTTTTTCTCTTTTTTTTTTTTTTTTTAGAACAACATGTTTTTTTTTTCCTTTCATAACGGTATAATTAATTTCTCAACAATTTTTATTTAAATATACGATTAAAATGTTGTCACTTTTATCTTTGTAATTATAACGAACGTCATATTCCTAATGATGTCCCATAAAAAAAGAAAAAAAAAATGATACGACAATTGTGTGTTCCTATTTTACAAGTTAACGTTGTACGATTGTTCGAAAATAAAACTTACCGATTTTTTTTTGTTTAATCTTAAACTCATAATAACACTTATAAATTAATGATCGCGAGAAAGATAAAACATGATGGTGTTAGTTCATTAAATGCAAACCAATACATTTTTTTTGTTTTCCTTTCAGGTCGGACGGTCGATGTCTGATGGCGCGAGCTGGAACCCAGCGCTGGAGAAATCCTACTCCAGAGTAAGTAGAGATTCCTTTAAGCAGGGTTTCCATTTTTAACCTTTTTTCTGTTTTCTGTTACAATTTTAAACCCCATTTTAACATCAAAACTGTAAATACCCAACCAACATTGAAAAATCAAGAAAAAACTCCAATCATCGATCGGTTTGTGTATTCAAACTTGTTCACCCTACTCCACTGTTCACCATCGTTTAAAGGATTTTTTTTCTACTTGTGCAAATAGTTCGTAATCATTTAAAAATGATCGAGAAGTCAAATTAACTGATAATACGCTTAAAATTATAACTGTTCGTTACAATTACACCTGCCCAAATCTTATTTCGAATTAAGACAAATATTTGACGATAAATGACTATAATTTCGTGTTAAAATTATTCCACTTGTTAAATGTGTGTCTCAGAAAGATTTTCTAATGAATAAAAATTCAATTGGGTAGAATAGTTAGAAAAATGTTGTATTGCTTTTAAATCGAACGATTATTCTTTAAAATAACTAGAGGTACGAAACCGAAGAAAATACGGTGTGTCTTGTAAGCATCGATAAGAAATAGAAAGAATAATGGTGAAGGGAGGAGATGGGGGTGGGGCGGGGTTTAGATTGGAAGGGAAAAGATAAAGATAGAAAGAGAAAGAGAGAGAGAGAGAGGAGAGAAATGTGCAGAAACCTCGAGTATCTTTGATCAAAGGCCGTCTCGATTGGATGCTCTGTCGTGATTCCGGACGATGAATAATTGAGGAGAAGAGCGTCTCGGATAAATTTCACGCTGTAAGCACTTTTTTTTCTATTCTACGACGATGGAACAACTCGCCGATAAAATACCGATTTATCGATTGTTAATTTTCGTGTTTATCATCTTCTAAACAGTTGTTGCTATATTTTCTTTCGCTTTTTATTGTATCATTTTACTTTTTTCGGTCAAACTTACTGACCGTTGGTAAGAAGATATAATCGTTTGATTATTTTATATGAAAAGGAAAATTGTTATACGTGTTTAACCTTTATAAGAATATTATTTAATGTAAGAGTGTTATTGTAACTAAACATTTTCTCTTCATTAACGATAATTTAGCGTGAATTAACGCGTTCAAGGTTTTTGAAGTTATACTTCTTTTGGTGCGTTTGGGAAAAAATGATGAGAGTGAGAATTATTACGATGAGCGCATGCGCACAGCGACACGAAATTAACAGGATGAAGTTAGTCGGTATTTACGATGCGCGCGCATAGCGACATGAAATTAACAACATGAAGTTAGTCAATGAATCTCTTAAAAATTTAGTGTGGACTGATATCTATATTCAAGATATTTTTTTTGTGTTTCTTTCGAAACGAAGAATCAAAGGAATACGATTAATCGATTATAATTTTACAACGTTTATGCGTTAAAACAGACTCAAGCGCCATATTGAATTTCATTTATCATTATCAGAAAAGTAAGAATACGATTTAAATATAAAGCTATACAATTAATTATTATTTTTCAAATAATTGTTACGATGTTTCTCTTAACTTATGATATCGCAACACTTGAATTTTATTTAAATAAAACAAAAACAAAAAAAATGATTGATCCGTTTACACGTAACACGGTTCAATTAGTTGTTGTTACATTATAATGAATAACACGAAGTATCGATTAACAAAATTGTATTCGAGAAATTGTAAAAAAAAAAAAAAAGGAAACAACTGTACGTTAAAATGAAAATGAAAATGAAAATGTTGGTACGAATGTAATCGGATTCATCGAGGACGAGTTCGAGTCGTCCTTCCGGTTGTTACGCGATACTTTTTCGAATGGAAGAGAAATGAGGGGATGCTGGTGTAGTAATAGTGGGGATAAAATAGAAAGAAAAGAAAGAAAGAAAGAAAAAGAAAGCTAAAACAGCTCGGTGATTTTATCTTTCATTGAGGAACAAGGAATCGATACAAAAGACAGGATGTTTCCGAATGTCTCGTTAGCGGGAGTTAAATCGATGGAACCAGAAGAGAAGAAGATAAAAGAAGAAGAAAAAGAAAATAAAGAAAGAGTACGGATTTTATAGATCTGTGTGTAGTAATAGTAGTAGTGTAGTTCTACCCGGCGCCATAGCAATATTTCCTCAAACTACTACAAACTACTACCACTTTCCATAACTCTGTCTTGTCCTTGATATATATATACACGTATATATGTATGTATATGTGTCTGCCGTCGCGTCGAAGCCGCGTTCTTCCGTTTTATGCGGTGCTGATTAATGCACGGCGTAACGGGTCGGATTAATTATTAGTTATTGACTGACGAGAAAGAAAGAAGAGAGTGGGGGGTTGGGGGGAGTGAGTGAGAGAGAGAGAGAGTAAGGTGCATTGCCGCGTAGGCCAATTAACTACTTACAGGCTTTTCATCGACCCTCGACAATCGCCGAGATCGATTCGGGGTGAATAACTTTTCCAACGAGCTTTCGTGTTTTTTTTTCTCTCTCTCTCTTTTTACTTTTTTCTTTTCCTAACCCCCTGTGCCCCCCCTCGTGCCCCCTTTTATCAACGGTATCGTTAGCACTGAAATCACTCTTTCTGTCTCTCCCTTTCTTTCTCTATTTCTCTTTTACTTTCTGTCTCTGTTTCTCTTCTTCGCGACCTATCTATATGGTACGTACGTAGATACGAGCCTTGAACGGGGTTGGGGGTTGGGAGGGGGGAGGCACTGTACACCTTTCATCCTTTAGCCTTCTACTCGTTTCTTTTTTTCTTGCCGTCCGTGCGTAAAGAAAAAAAAAAAAAAAAAGAGCAAAGGAAGGTTTCTTACTCGAAGGTATCGCGTCGCGTCGTATCGTACTGTCTTTCTTTTCTTTTTCTTCTTCTGCCCCTCCCTCCCCTTCCCCCTATCCCTTTTTTTTAATCTTTTAATTTCAAGAGAAGAAAAGAAGAAGAGATTTTTCTTTCGAGAAAAAGGGGCAGCAGGGAGAGAGAGAGGGTGTGTAACTTTCTAGTTTTTAGTTCAGTTTTTTTTTGTTTCACTTGAAAGTGTATGGTTATATCGAAAACATATGAAAAAGGGATTCTTAGACGTTGAGGAATTTTTTGTTGTTGTTGTTGACACTAATCAGAAAAATGTATCATTAGATGAATCAAGAATTTCGTTGAACGATGTAGAAAGAAGGGTGTTTGGATGTTTAATCTTGGGAGTTGATTTTAAATGAAGAAAGATAGCGAGTAAATGAATGAGTGAATAAGGGTGAGTTGGTTGGTTGGTTGGTTGGTAATGTGGTGGTATGAAGGAAAAGGGTGGGATGACGTTACATACACGTGTATTCTCTCGCGAGCAACCCTATCTCGTTGCGTTTACAGTATACTCTCCCCCTTATCTCTATATCCATCGTTCCGTTCAGTAGACTGCCCTTTAATCCACCTCCTGCCCTTATTACTATCCCTAATGACCTAGTGGTGGACGATCGGTGTGTTTACCGTTACGACAGGATCAAGAAAATCCGATTTGTTAAGATACCCAAGGGTGGGGTGGCGGTAGTGGTGGTTTATACGTTTCATCAGGGGCCTTTTTACTGTCGAAGTAATTTTAGGCACTCGCAGAATAATTGAATTAGCATGTAAAAGAAAAAGGGTTCGCGTTTAAGTACACCTAACTTCGCAAGAGAATTAAGTTTTTTTTTTCTTTTACAGAGAAGGGGGGCTGGGGATTAAGGGGTCGGAGTTTTTTGTTTTTAATTTATTTCACAATTTAATTTGCGATTTGATTTATTATTTTTTTTTTGAATAGGTGGGTGGTTAATATTATACGAAAATAAATTTTTTTTTCTGCAATTTTTGTTATATGCATATTTTTTATTTATTTCTTTTTTTTTTTTTTTTTTAATTTGAAAGAAAACAAAATATGATTTGTTAAGCAACCAATAGGAAAATATTAATAGAACAATTCGTCGAGTTTATTATTAACATTGTTGCTATTAACATGGTAAATAATTATAAACGTGATCTCTCTCAATTGGCTCGATAATAAACGATTGATATTTCCTAGAAACAGTGTGTCAGTAGTGAATTTCCTGCAATCATTTTCACTTCTATCGTCGGTTTATCAACAATCCCCTATTTAAACGGAATCTCCGGAAGCCGATATACGTCTACCGTGAACGTGCGAGCGTGAAATTGCAGATAGGATAACGTCAGCCCATAAGTTTCCGATTTGACGTTTGGTATTGGTGACGGGGGGAGGGCGATGAGAGGGGAGAGACAACGTTACAATACCGTATTATAACAGAATTACTAATATGCTAGTTATAATATTACAATAAAAACAAAAAACTATGAGACAATGACATAAATCGTTAAAAAAAAAAAAAAAGGAAGTTATATTATACGTATATGAAATTTATAATAAGAAAATTTCTTTTCCGATAAAATAAAGATAACAACGTTAACGATGAAATAAATATAATAAAATTCATAAATTCAACTTCGTTAATATAAAATTTATCGTTACTATTGAAAAGTACACTTTTTTTTTCTTTTTTATGAATTAAAAATCGTATCCACTTCCAACAATAATTATCGTTTAAATTATTTTATCATATTCATCGATTTTCATTAGACAAATTAACAATCCATAAAAAGATAAAATAATATTATCCGATATTCATCACTCTTATATATTTAATTCATTAACATAATTATAGAGATATTTAAATTACGTACATACCTACCTACGTATGTGTATGTATTTATATACTTTCTTTTATAAATCCTTTTCCTTTTGTGTTTCTTTTGTTTGGTTCTCTTTACATACTTGTATTTCACATCGACGTTTTAGAAAAAAAGATTCATCACGATGATTTGCAATGATCGTGGATGGCACTGAAAATCCTGATAAATGAAACCAAACTATATTCGTAAGGAATGAAAAATTATCAAGCGTGTTATACTCTTTTTTTTCTTTCTTCTATTTTTAATTTATGTTCTCCTATTCGAAAAGACGTTTCGCGCTCGAGAGAGCATCGAATCGTTTTTAAAACGC